TCAGCTGTCAGTCTTACCTTTTAGCGGAGAATTCCACATGAAGATCACTTTATTTCCACTTGCAATGTTAAAATACAATAAATTACTTTAATTTGATCTTATTATCATAAATTTTTATTTGAAAATTTATTCGAAAAATGTTAAAACTGATAATAATAAAATTTTGATCAATATGTTTTTTTACATTTAAAAAATGGTGGAAGATAAAATTCATTCGGGAAATCTGCCCTTATATGGCACGCTTTCGTCGTTATCTTATCTTCATTGTTTAAAAAAAAAAAAAAAGACGAATAAACAAACTCATAAAGATCCAGCAATGGATTTAAATCAAAAAAATTTCAAAAATTAGTCAAACATCAAAAAATTTTGCCATAGCCTTCCAATTAAAGGAAATAAAATTTCGACAATGGCCCATATAGCCGCCAGTAGGGAACGAATCACAGCTACATATTTCACGACGGTTCCATAGAGTTTTCGTCAATCGAAAGAATGTATTGCTTTAGTTTTCGCTACCATAATCCGGGTTATAATTTCTTTTTTGCCTGGCATTCGGTATTAGAATGGATTCTAGATATTTAAAATCATGCAATAAATTTATAAAAATAGGCTTGTATATTAGACGAAAAGGTTTTCGTTTTATTAATATTGACCCTGAGACCTACAGTTTCTGACACGTCATTAAGCATTACTTGCATTTCGCACTCATAACTGTCATAGCAAAAATGACTACATCATCAGCGTATTTAAAATCTGTAATATGATGCTCTGGATTGAGTGCCGACAACCTGTGTCCATTATCCAGTCTATCGCATGGTTGAATATTGTAGTGAAAAGGATATAGCCTTGACTAATATCAATTCTTATATCGAGCTGCTATCTCCATTCTCAAGGCCATGCCACTCCAATAGTGATTTCTGTCTCGCCGTGTTACTGTCGTTGTAATTCTTCGATGCAGCTGATAGTCAGGATCTCCTGACATTCGTGCTTTGGCAGCTGAAAATTGGACAATTGTTTCCGGTACGTAACTAGCACACTTCCTACTAATATGTCCTAGCGTAGAAGTGACTTTCGGAGACATTCCTTTAGTTTGGACCAGTATTCAATTGCCGTTCCATAAAAATCATTTATATTTAAATATCATTCTTCAATAATTCGGTTTGAAATGCGCTCATTGTCCCCAAATTTGTTAGTTTGAGATAGTTGAAGGATCATGGGGGATGCTGTTTTTTGCTAGTTGTTAATTTTATGCGGATCATGGCTCGGACAATGACATGGTCAGATCCATGAAGATTGCCAGATTATTAGTGCCGCGATAAGAACACAAACTCTTCCAACAATGATTGACTAAAATTTAATTAATCTTGTTGAAACATTATAATACGAGGAGTTCCACGTGATTAGATGTTTTCTACGATGCCGGAAGCAAATATACAAAAAGTTCATGTTCTTCGGCATAACGAAGAAGACGTTCGCCATTGGCGCACCGGCCTCCAATGCCATATTTGCCAATTTTCGAGGTTATGAAAGTGGCATTATGATCTATGTACGCATTCCAGTCACCCTCGATTATGACCATGTCATTTTTAGGTAGAGAGTTAACTTTGTTAGCAGTTTCGCGTAAAATTTATCTTTATTACATTCATCTGCCGACAAAGTTGGAGGCATCGAGATATTGCAGAACTTACCCTTAAAACGAGCATAGTACGGTCGCTTACCGGTTTCCATTCAATTAAAGCGGAACGGTGACAATCACTATGCCTTTTCGCCCCGAGTTATCTGAAGCACCACAGTGATATATATATAGCCAGTACCTCTGCTCCGTGCCAGGATTATTTAATTACTCGGGACCTGAAATGAGGAAGACGGACCTCCGACAAGCAGGCGATATCCTTACGGTATTTAGAAAGGATGTGGACAGTAATCGCTTGACTTGCGACGTCCATAAAGCGTTCTGATTTTCCATGCTGATACGGCTAATACCTTATTGCTATTTCACTTGATTGGTTTCGAGCAATTACCCTGGCTTGCGAGAGCACTTTATTATCAGCTTTGGGATCGATTTATCGGATTGTATACTTATTATACTTATCGCATGTACCAACATCTGGAAATATCATGCGCGGACGATATATCAAGAACATCTGACCCTTCCACCACAGAATCATTTGGGTATCGGAGAATTACAAGTGGGTCCCCAGCAACCAGATGGATTTTTGATATGACAGGTTTACTGCTCTCAAAGGCAAGTATTATTTATTTTATAATATTAATATTATAAATTTATAATATTATTATAAATTTTATGTATTTATATATATATATATTTTATTTCAATTCTTTGTTTCTTAAATTTAGGAAAAAAACTTACCTCGTAATTTACAGAAATTCTAAAAATATTCTGAAAAAAAATATGAAATTTACTGTTACTGAATTATTTGTTAGCCTTGATTTACGTCGGAAAATAAAAAAAATAAATTTTGATAAAATACTGAAAATGTGCAATTAAAAATGATGAAAGTTTAAAAAACAAGCCTGCGAAAATGAAAATCACTCACAATAATTTTGATGGATTATTGATGTATTATTTATGTGGTCGCCTCGGTAACAAGGTCATCATTGGACACAATAACTGTTTTAGTTGTCAATCTATTTGAATGGCAGGTTTGTTTGTAATTTTTCGTTTGATTAATTAATTTATTAATTTATCAAAAACATGTAGAAAATAATTTTTGCCTCTTATTTTTTTACATTTTCTTGAAAAAAATACAGATTAATTCATAAAACCATTTAATCTCGTGCAATCATATTTGCATTCAGAATACTTGTGATACTACCAAATCCATCTGCATTTTCATTTCTCTTATCCAATTGACCCTCTCGTGAATGGATTTCATCCTGGTAGCTAGTTGAATGAGCGGAAACCAGAAATGGTTAGAAGAAGAGAAGAACAAAGCACTACCGTTTTTATTCAAGAAGATTTTTTTTCTAGACACTTTACTATTTATTATTATTATTTTTCATAGTTATGAAAAAATGTAAACCGTGTAATAGCAATGAAACAGTAAAAGGAATGATTAAAAAGAATAAAGACAATTTGCATGAATGGTCAATATATCGGCAGAATTTGACCTCATCATTGGCTAGGGGACTTTTGGCTTCATCAACAAATATGGTAAATATTTTTGTTTTTTTTCGGTTATTAGCTTTGAATGCGATAATCTATGCTTAGTTTTGTTAAATGTCCTTAAATCAAATCTATTTATGTCCTATTTAATCGAAATGTAATATTTTATTTACATTGCTAAATATCCAAATCAAATGCTCATGGAAAAGAAATTTTTCATATCTTTAAAATGCTTAAACAGGTTTTTTGAATATTTTAAAGAAGCGATTTATTTTGCAATAACCTAGCGTTTAACTCAAAATTTAATTAATTTTATCGTAATTATTATATAAAAATAAATAAAAATTGAAAATGGTCGATCCATATTTTAGATTCTTAAACACAACATTAGGCTTTACTTCTGGAAAAAATAAATTTTTAAGTCAAATAAAGATATGCTTTACAAGGCGTTAATGATAGATGATTGTCCAACCTTCGAATCTAAAATAATTTCAAAAACCTTGACGTGAAAATTTTCTTTTGAAGATAGGTTTTGAATATATTTGTTCAGACATTCATTGTTCAAAATTTTCTACTTTCCATCCGGTTATTCGCCTTACTTTCGACATTTTTATAGCATTTATCTTCAATTTCTTCATTCAAATATGATAATTTTGCCTTTTTTAAATTTTTCATATTTTATCACTTAACAGGAGTTGCCATACGGTGATTTTCATATGAATAATCAAACCGTCAAAGAATTGATTCAATCAGGTTGCTTAGAAAATAATGATCTTGCGCGACAAGGAGATATATATTTAAAATTTGGTTTACCTAGAGTTAATATGCTTGGTAACGATTTATAATTTATCATAATTTATTTCTATTATCTAATCTATTTCTATTAATAATAATGATCTATTTTAATTCTAATAATCTATTTTTCAACGATTATGTTAATTGGTTCCAACCGGGCAATATGCGACAAATTATTCTTATCTATTCAATTAAAAAAATAAAATTTCTTCGAAAAATATTTTAGAATTTTTTTAATATTTTAATATAATATTTAATATTTTAATAAATTATGTTTATATATATTTTTATTTTAGTTTAAGAAGTATTTTTATATATTTTATATTTTTATATATTTTTATAAATATTTTATCGATCGTCGATGATACTACAAACTAGAAGAAAAATTTTTCGTAAATTTTATAATTTTTGTGTGTTGAAGATGGCCAACGATTGGATATGATAAAGACGATTCGATCATCTAAAAATCGAAGAAAATCTAATGAATGGGAAACTCAGTATGTTTCAAATTATACTCAATAAGATATGACTTCACCTTCCAAACCCTAAATGATTTTTTCTTTCTCTTATAACAACTCTCAGCATTACTGGTTAGGCTGGCTATGCTGGCTATAAGAGAAAGACGTTTGCAAGCTGCCTAGCCTGACGCCATCGCTAGTAATAATAGAAGCCATTCTTTTTTCCATCATCTATGTCTATATATCGCTGGTCTTCCTATACGTTCAAAATTTTTCCTGACTTTATCAGTCCATGTATTGATGGGCTCTCCTCATTTTGACGCCAACTATCACGGAGTTCGGAGTTTTAACGAAATATAGTAGGCGAATCTCTGTGGTGAGCGAAGGCGATGCTCTGTATCGGATGGTACAGATGGTACTATTAATGCAAGTGGAAATTTGAGCGAATTTGAGTGGATACGATGAAGATTTTATCCACTCGGCGAACCAGTAAAATATAAAATGTATCATAGACATGAATGGTTGAAGGCAGATAGCTTATTAATATCTTCCACTCTCGTCGGCTATGTCTGGTGGCCATATTGCAAGATCAAGCGAATTGAGCCATATAAAATTGTATTATTTGTTGTACTTTCATGCAGCTCTTCGATTCATAGCTTGAACCACAAAATGATCTGACCTATGGAAATTGCCAATGCCATAATAGGAACGGCTATCTAGTATGGAACTCTTGCAAAGACAACTGACCTATAGGATTAGCTTGGTCAATGTTAATTTTCTTGGGAGTTCCACGTGATACGATGTCTTCTTCCATATCAAAATTATGTAATATGGGCAGCATCTTGTTTGACAGAACAAAGAAGGGATTCTCATTTAGCGCACTGGAATCTGATTCCATCTCCCGAGTGGCAACTATCGTGATTTGCGCTCGCATTCCAGTTTCCTTTCTCCTTACCAACAAACCGAAAAATTGCAGAACATTTAAAGCGGGCACTGACATATGGTCTTTATGTTAATAGGCTTCTCCCTAGTGAATCGAGCTTTTTCAGACATAATCACTATGTTATGCCATTCTGCCCCAAGTTACCCGAAGTGCCACAATGATATAAGCAATATAAGCAATATCTCTACAGAGCCAAGTTTAATAATAGCTCGAAACTCGAAATGAGACAGGCTTCTAACAAGCAATGTCCACACAATGTTTGGACAGGTGATTTACGTCTATGTCCGTTTTGACATTCCATACTGCTATGGTCAACATCTTTCGCTTGATATTGCTTGCTTTGAAGTTTCGATCAGTCATCCTTGCTGAGAAGCTCATTTTATTCTCAAACTTTGGGATTATTTTACAAGGGCCCATTTGCGTAATTATCGCATGTAAATTTATCGTGAGTGCACATCGGAGAGAACGAACACCATGTCAAATTGACCCGTTCATCACAAACTAACTTGGTGATAGAAGGTGATAGAAGTACAGGCAACCAAGTGATGTACCAAGTGATAGCAGGTTTTCTGTCAAGGACAAAGAAAGAGGAAAATGAAAGGAGAAAAATTAAAAATAAAACGAAGATTTATTCTTTTCTTTATTATTCATCTTTTTTATTATTTTAAATTAAAAAAAAATGTCTATTTGATGGATAATTATCAAAGAAAAATCGAATGGCTGAAGCTGGCCTGCATTCTTATAGTCAAATGACTCAGTAGCAAAATTTGTATGGATGACATACCAGTCGAGTGAGCCTATCCAGAAACTATGAGCGCTTTTGAAAAAAATAAGGCAGAATTACAAAGCTTAGCGAAACTAATAGTTATATTTAAATATAAATAATTGAGGAATATTCGCATCTGCCACGGATCAAACATAGAGCACGATGAAGAGCGAATAACACTACCAGATGCCAACGAAAGCGTTTTTAGTAGTCCTATACATTGTGTAGCGCCATCGGATATTATGCTATCTACAACGAATGGGGATCAGCAGTTTATTGCTTTTGCTTTCCTTTTAATTAAACTAGAAATATTTTTAAATATTTTTCAAATCAAATGCCTTTCGAATATTTGCAGAATTATTCCTCAGAAAAAAAAGTTCAAAGAGCTGATAAAATTGATAAAATTTGAAGCATTTCGAAATTTTTTTTTTTGATAGTTCAAGGCTAGGATTACGACAATTTGATCGAAAGCAAATTCAGTATTTTTCCAACATCGATTTATTTCAACAACCATCTGGTTTTAATTATTTGCGATATGCGAGAGCAGACGAATTACGACATGAAGAAAATACGTAATTTTTTCCTAAATTCAAATAGTATCTAATGAATCAAAATTTCTGATTAAATTCTAAGCCTTGGCCATAGACTTAGCCAAGCCTCAGAATCATTGGCCTATGCCTAGGACAAGTTCCCGGTTAAATTCTATTTCATGGTTGAATTTATCCTTATTTATCTTTAGTAACCCGCATTTCTACATTTCAAATTTGACTTTCATCTACGATTTTCGAACAATTACTGATCGTATAATACTTCGACCACCGCAGAATCTTGCTATACTCAATGATGTTTCATTTGAACTGTCTGGTGGTGAAACTCTCGCAATTCTTTATACTTCTGGTTAATCTTTTTTTTTGGAGCATAATTAAAATAATTAATAAATAAATATAATATAATAATATAATATAATAATGAAGCATATTTGAGAGAAAAAAATAAATTTTAGAATTTGAAATTCGCACACTTTTATGCATTTTGGCTGGGAGAATGACACATGGAGTCTCTATAAAAGGAACTTTTCAAATAAATGGCCACAATTTGGAAATACAGCAGTTGGCTAAGATGATAGCATATGTTTCATTCGAAGAACTTTATCCATGGCTAACCGTTAAGCAGACTCTTTTTTTTATGAGTGCCTTCAAAAAATCCGCTACTGGTACTTTTAAAATTGAAAATATGGTATGGTTTTCAAATTATAAATTATTTAAATTATTATTTTCGATAAAAATGCTAAATTTGCGATTATTTATCATTTCATCATGTTGCAAAATTTTTCAAGAAAAAATTACTTCACTTTTTTATTATTTTATGAAATTCTTAGTTGCCTCAAATCATCTATGGTTGCGTTTTTTTTCTTTTCTATTTTCAATTTTCCAAAAATTATTTTCCAATTTTCTATCATTTAAATAGAACCATTAAAGATCGATCAGTTAATTCAAACACTAGCACTATCACCTTATCGAAATACATTGTGCAGCGAAATTGGGAAAACTGAACGACAACGTCTAAAAATTGCCATTCAAATTTTGAAAGATACTGGTAACCATAATTATTTTTGCTTTATTTTAATTTAATCGTTCAATTTATGGAAATTTTATGTTTTTAGTAAAATATTATTATGAATATTTTTTATCAATACTTAATTTTTAAGAGCATTTTTTATTTTTAAGACCATTCACCACTGTTGATAAAACTCGCTCCGCTGGCCTGTTGAATAGATAAATATGCCAGCGAGTCTCTTGGCGATAGAATTACAGGTGAGTCGTTATCATCCATTTTTCGACAGGTTTTACTCTTGTCGGAAATAAAACCTTAGCATCGTCCCTCCGAATTGAGCATTAACCCACTGAGCCATTCTGCTCTTCGTTGTTTTTCTTCGTTTGACGACAGTGCTGTCCGACGAGAAGTAGTGCATCGGCGGATTCGAGTTCAAGCTCGATTCCAGGTGGTAGCCATCGGTAGTTCTCTTGCCATCGACATACTGGCATCTATTAATACCTATTTTCAATGATATTTGACAACTCTTTTATCATTTCCTTTTAAGCCCTTATCTACAAGCTTTTTTTTCTAAATTTTTTGCAACTTAAAGGTAAAGTAGCGACAGGGTAATGAAATTCATAGATCGGCTTGGCTTTTAAAGGATGAAGTTGGATTTTCTTGTAAAGTATAGATTTTCTTGTAAATATATTAACAGAATCAAATCCAAACCCAGTGATGTATAGCATTAATTTTTTTTTATTTGCCTATAAATAATATGGTCCCTTTACTCATTTCTATTACTGAGAAAAGTTATATAAATATGTGGTACTTCATCTTTTCATAAAAAAATTACTTGTCTTTTAATTTCAGTCCATAAGAAATTCTTCTTGAACTATTAAAATGCAATTTTATTTTGTTTTCTCATATTTATTTATTAATTTTAGCATATATAATTAATTATGCTTATTTTGTTCTATTAAATCAAATAGCATATACAGTGAATGAACAATTAAATCTGCTTTTAGGTCCAATAATTTAATAATACTTGACAATTAATGATCGAACCTTTTCTATTGAACATAGTATACTATTATTAATTTTACTAGTACCATATATAAATTAAAATTTCAGATATCATTCTTTGCGAGAATATAACGAAAGATATGGACCTATATGATAGCTCTTTTGTAATTGATTATCTTCGTGATTTTGCTAATAAATTAAATCGAATTATAATTATGGCCATAACTCCGCCAACAATTGAAATATTAACTATGTTCCATAAAAGTATCTTTTAATTTCAGTATTCTTTAATGATATTTCAAACGTCAAAACAATAGCCACAGAAATATACACAAGAATTTATTGGGTTTCAACTGAATAATGTTTGGTATATTACGAAAAGGGCAATTCATTTTTCACAAATACTTAGAATTGCCCAAAGAAATGGTTAAAAACCGTGCTTGTACTAAAATCAAACTTAAAAACGAAATAATGCATGCTTATCGTCTCCATAAATCCCAACATCCCAACGAGGAATAGAATCTCTCCAATCTGAACAACAACCACTAAGCCTCCATATTTGGTTCATCATGCGCTACGAGCTCAAGCAATAAATCTAAAATAAAAGGGAAAAATGTAATCGCTTGATTGCCATTTACTTAATTTATATTCGATCAACGTAGGGAGCCAGCGAAATCATCAAAAAATTAATTTAGCATTGTTGCTTGCTTCCGGCCAAGTAATCTATTTTGGACGTTCAAGTGAAATGGTTCATTACTTCGAATCAACTGGTTTCCCGTGTCCATTACTGAAAAACCCATGCGACTATTACGGTAATTTTTTAATGGTGTTTACTTTATTGAATAATAAATGAATAATAAGATTTTTGAAAAAATTGAAACTTGAAAATTGAAAAATTGAAAAATTGAAAATTAAAAATTATAAATGTACAGTGGATTTGGTTACTCACGATAATCTCACGCCAGAAGCATCTTCTGAATCAATAGAAAGAATTCGACGATTGAGCGAACTCTGGAAGCAAAATTACACTCTGCGACATCCGAAAGTCACAGCGCCTTTATCATCTAAAATTGCACAGGCTAATTCATTTGAAGCCATGGTCATTATCTATAGGTTATTTTAATATTTAATATTTTTAGCATTTATAAATATGTTTTTTTCTGCAATAGTTTCTATTCTCTAAAAATATTTCGAAATGCTGTAGGAGATTTTTCGCTATATATAAAAATCGTCCGTGGAGCATTATGAAGGAACCATTTTACGCATTGCTAACTTCATTGTCGCTTGGTGCAATTTTTTTTGATATTCCCGCAGATCGAAGAGCAGGAATCGATGATCGATTTGGTTTTATATTTGCAATACTTACGCTATTCCTCTTACCGAATCTTTTTATAAATATAGAACGAAGTAATTCATTTTTGAGTCATTTTTATATAAAGCTAATCAATTGGTGAGTGGAATGACACAGTGGGTTGTTGCTCGGTTCGAAGTGCCGATGCTGATATTCTCCTCAGCAGGAGAGTAAACCTCCAAAAGTCCGAGTAATATTGGCCACTTATATGTGCTTCTATCGCCAAGGGATTTTCTGGCATATTTGCGACAAGCCAAACGAGAGTGTATAGCCAGTAGTGGTGAATGCTCTTTTAAAAAAAGCTCCGCTCTGGCTCTTATCTTATATAAATCAAAATTAAAAAGAAACAAGAGTGGAATTAAAAAAATAAACCAAGTGCTTTCCTAAAATAGTGCTTTCCTAAAATTTTCCAATAGTGCTTTCATAAAAACTCTCGAAATTCGGCATGAAATAGAAGTATTTCAGTTTCTGATGAGCGCCTCTTTCTTTATCAAGATTTATGTAACCAGTTTTATGGATCCATTGGCTATCTTTTCACCAAGGTTGGTTCTATTTCGTTACAAGTTTAGTGCTGTAATTGGTTCGAAAATTAAAGAAAAATGCCATAGAAACGGTAAGTTTAGGTAATTTAGGTGATTTTTGAATTGAAATATTAAGTTTTATGGAACTATGATATTTACTAGACATGACCTATATTAATCGACTTTTACCTAATTTCTTATTTTTAGATAATTTTTGATTTTCCCTTTTCGTTGTTTACCTATATACTTTATGCTTTACCGGCTTATATAATGAGCGGCTTGCCACCGAAAAATGAACTCTATTGGCCTTTTATTATTTCTTTTGCTACTATTGTTATACTAAATTCTCTTCTATGGCGATATGCTTCGTGGATGTTCGCTTATGCTTTCGGTTCACGTACAACTGCAGCTTTTGCTAGTGGTTAGACTTATTGTAGTTATTGTTAGTTATAGGAATTATTGATTTCATGATAAATACGCATTTTTATTCAGCGGCTCTTATGGGATTATCTGCCCTTGCATCTGGATTACTTGTTCATCCTTATGATCTTTTGCAATTTGCTAAGTGGACACATTTCATTAGTCCAATAAAATATGCTGGTGAGATATTAGCAGAAAATGAATTCAAAGGGACTTCACCTCTTCTTGAAAAGGTAAAATCAATAATATTATTAAAATCATATTTAGGTCAGCCTGTTTGTCATTAAAATCACGTTTTTTTTACAATCTTTCTTTTTTTAATTTTTTTAATTTTTTATAAGTACTATTTTTATTGAGTCGGAATTATTGAAAAATACAATTAGCATCGGAAAATTACACTGTATTTTGAAGAATTTGGATCTGATTTGTTTTACAGATGCTGAAAAAGCTTATTTTGCATTTTAACCAGATCCTCCACCTCTGAACTAAACTTTAGAGCCAGTTAAGTGATGAATAAATAAGATTATCGTCCCAAATATGATTGCTTTACGCTCCTGGAAGTAGTAAGCAAAGCAAAAAAGCTACCGTATAAAAGTCTGGAACGACAACTAACTGCCACTTCATTCTCTGGCAAAGAGATTTCATCCTGCTAGGCAGACGTTAGTCATAAATGTTAGTTAAATAACCATTCAATATTATTGACCATAGATGGTATGTGGATTAGAGTGTAGGTTTCCTTCGGTTTTGATAATTTACATGGCATTACCTTATAATGAATCATGAATGAACATGCAAATGCAAACAAGTCAAATTCTCAATGACCTAAAATCATTTCACTTATAGGTGATCGCAATGATTACAAATAAGCATAAATCGTGGAACCGAACTGAATTGATGATTGGATGCGAGAGAAAACGAGTTCTTGCAGCGAAAATTAGAGAGGTAAATTCATGTTTTTCTCGAGAGATTTATTTTTGTATTCTTTTCAAGAATTTAAAACAAATTTTTGATAGGTACCAATCTATACTATATCGCATTGCTCTAAGATTTATGGAACGCAAGCTTTCCAATTTTCTGGACTACAAACTGAAAAACTAAGCAATAATGAGCGGCTTTTTCTGTCTATCGAAATTTTTTCCATCTGGTTTGGTATTATTTTAATATTAATTCTTGGCTTCGTCAATTGTAATAATAAACCAAAAAAGAATGCCAATTAACGTGAGAATAGATGATAATTGATATAGATTGATGATAATTGATGAAATTGATAAAAATAGATGATAATAATTAATTAATTAATTTTCTAGAGAAAGCTAAAAGCTAATGGAATTTTTTTCCCCAAAATTTTCAATTTTCATTAAAATTTTTCGGTAAAATTTTTTAAATAAAATTTATTAAATGGTTAAAATCACTTAAAATTATTGAACTATTCAGTGATTGTCTTTTTTTATTTTTTATTAAATTTTTTTCAAAGTATAAAACGGTTAAAACTTTAAATATAATTTAAATATAATTTTTATTCATTCCATTGTTTATCTGGAATTGATAAAAGCATTATCAGTAAAAGCAATTAATTCAACAGCAAAAGCAAGAAATTTAAATAAAAATTATTATTATTAATAAAATTAGTGCCTAGAAGAAAAAGACACAAGAATGTCGAATGATAATGTTGAATGAACTGGAGTTAAGCGATCATATATTTCATTTTGCATATTGATGGCATCTTTCTCTTCTAGCCTGTGCAACCAGCCTAACGAGTAATAATGAGAATTTTTAGAAGAGGAAGAAGATCGATGGCAATAAATTAGTTATAAATCCATTCTAGTGGGTGAAATCCTTCGCTTTTTTGTTCAAATAAAAAGAAATAAATGACAATAGTAAATTTTTAGTAGTTTTTGCACGTTTCTCCTAACATATTGCTACTCCAGTGGCCATCATCCATACATTCATAGATATTGACAGGCTGTTTAGTCGAAGCGAATAAGAAATCATGTTGACAAACATGCACGATAAGTTTACCCACAGGTTGGCGGCTTAAGAGACCTGGATCATCACTGTGTGGAAACGATGAATACGACAAATTAAGAGACAACTGTGGACATGTTATATCTGAAAATAAATTTACCGTTTTTTTTTTTCATGTCCTTCAAAATTCCGTTTCTACGGTAAATAATTTTTAGATAGGAAAAATAATTTAGATAAATAATTAATTTTAGATAGAAAATAATTTTTAAATAGAAATTTTTAGAGAGAAAAATTTAAAGGTTTTCCAGTTGAACGGATTTATTTATTTTTTATAATAGTATTACAATAGAATTTAATAAATATGTCCAATATTTAATATTTCTTATAATTAAATTTGTAGGAAAATTTCGAATTATTTATTTTTAATTCGACTAATTAACTGTACGCCACGAAAGCGATATGTAATGGTTCTCATGCAAAAATTGCAAACGATTGTAAACGATTCGACTACAAATATACATAAATTCTGCTTTCTTCTCTATGATTTGGCTGGACCCGTCTAACTATTAAGACCAAACTCTTTTAAGCCATATTTAAAAAGAACTGCATCGAGAAAAAATACGTTCAATCATTTTATGATCACATGGCCTTTCGGAGAAATTTTGAAAATATAAAATAAAATAGGAAATAGGAGATGGAAGAAAAAGAGTTTAAAAAAAAAACTGATCTATAGTGACTATGGTGAAAGTCTGGTCTGATCTCTGTTCTTATCAATGGCTATAGTCGGTGGAAATGAAAAGACTTTTCCATTTACCCAATGCATGTCTTTAAAAATATATGATTGAAAATATAAAATAAAATATAAAATAAATGAAATAGAGAGAATAAATTTAGATCTACTTGTGATGTTCGCATTTTTCTTAAGATCGCTTGGGTTCACAATTAATTTCATCATCATCTTATCATCTACATTCGTTTTAATCGTACTGGAATTCGGACGAATCGTTAGATTTTTTTGGTATGTTTTCGTGCTTTCGTTCATCATATCGTGATTGATAATTTTCAGCGCATTACTGATAACTGATAAAGTGTCATCATTTATTGTAGAGGAATTTTTTTTTGTAAGGATAGAATTTTTAATCGTATTTTGCGTTATATTGTCGTATGGTCGATTATTACCATAACGTTTAGCAGTTCGATTGCAGACCAAATTTAATTTCCTTTTACATCCATTATTAATTATATTCATAGATTTAGAATTATTATTAGCTATGAATTTAAGAGATACAAATTTAATAGGCGAATTCTCACTGAAATATAGTTGAGGTCTTTTCGCTGTCGTTAAATTAAATTGACTATACTTATGAACTTCAGTGGTTTTCAATTTAATCGTAGAATTATTAAATATGTTAGAGTATTTTTTCATAACATCGAAATTCCTAATTCTACTTCGAGAATCGTTATTTCTTTCCATAGACTGATGATAGATTGCTTCTTCAATATTCGTCTTTTTTGATATTATCAAATATTTCGGAATAGTCGATTTTTTGTTACCACTGCTTGTTATATTGAAAGATTTAAGGTTTTCATTATCTGCTAATTTAAGAAATGCAGATTTAGTGAAAGAATTCTTTGTTATAGGAATTTTATTAAAACTCGCGGAAAATCGAGATTTTCCACTTGTCGCTATCATTAAACTAATATATTTATCAAGATCAGTGATTTTTAATTTATTTGTAGAATCATTGGGTACGTTAGAGTTATTGTTCATAGTGATATTATTAATCCATGTCTTATCATTATATCTTGTCTTATCATTATATCTTTTGGTAGTGTAGATTAATTCTTGTAATTCTTGTTTATCTTTACCCTTTGCACTTTTTGATAATTTCATTGAATATTGTTTTTCATTTTTCACAAGATTATTTTTAAACTCAGAAGTAGTAATAAAGCTTTTTGCATTGGATTGTCGTATTTCATTTTTGTCGTAAATTCTGGTGGATTTCTTACGAAGTGAAATTAAAATATTTGATGTGAACGGTGATTTAGGCTTGTTGTACATAATTTTACTGCCAAATATCGTCTTCAATTTATTCAAACTTCCAAACCTTTCATATAATATTGTCGACATATTTTCAGGAGGGATTTCGATGAAATTCAAAAAAGTATCATTGGTAGGATTAAGCATAACATAGTTATTGTTAGATAATTTATGCGAGAATGTGGGCGAACGAAAAAAACTTCTAGTCCGATTATTATTATCGAGTTGTGATGACAGGTGTGGTGGACGTTTCGTTTCACTGCCTAGAACCAGCGTAATTAATAAATTATTTGACGCTAAAGGATTGAATCCGCTTGTTTCATTCGAGGCAATGGTTCTCCAAATTTGTTGAATGGTACTTCCTGAGGAGAATGCATATTGATTTGTTTTGTTACTTGCATATTCATTAAAATATTCATTTGTCACTTTTTGATCATTCCAAATAAAATCACTATTGGTTCTAATCACTTTTTCGTCAGAAAATTCATTTTGTGAGCTATTATCAACAGTATTAGGGCGATATATCGAAGAAGCGCTTTTATTGCCAGTTGTTTCACTTACAGGAGAAATAGATATGCTTCTGCCTATTACTGATTTATTCAGTCCAGCATTATTCAACTGAGATAAACTAAGTGAAACGCTTTCATCATTGAGTAAATTAGCAGTGAATGGAAAATTTGTCTTATCACTGACGTTTTGAAATGTTTTCCCAAAATTAGTCGAATTATGCCAATTAGTCGATAAGATTGCCGTGGTTTTTGAAAGAATATTTGCTTCAGAATTTGGATAATATTTATGAAAATCTATTGTATCCTTTTGCGAAGAATAATTGGGTATTTCGCGTTGATTATTTAAATTGCTATCTGAAAATATCGAAATATCAGCGATTTTAGAATTATTAAACTGTATAATAGTTTTCGATGTACCTACAGAAATAGATGAGCTTTGTTGGTTTGTTGTGCCTTCAGCTCTTTTCAATTCCATTTCTCCATCATTCCCCATTATTGTCGATTCCAATTCCTCCATCGAATTCGTATCACTGTATTTCGTCTCTAAGAAAATCGCAGTTCCAGTAATTAGGGGATTTTTAGTAATCGAAAATTTTATTTTTTCATTATTTTGATTTTTATTTTTGAATTCGTCTCCAATTGTTGTTTCACTGATTGTATAAATTTGTGTTTCGCTACCAAATTCGGATGAATTTGAATTATTCGTGCGAAAATAATTAGTAATAAATGGGCTATTAACGGATGAAAGAATGCCAATTGCTTTTATGTCTATGCTATTATTTTTTGCAATATTCGACGATTGTTGTAGATAGTTCACAGTTGGATTGGCTAAACTGGTCTGAATTAAGGAATTGTTCTTCAGTGGACTTGTATCCACTCTTGCAGTTCGATTTTTGTCTTCGTCTAAACTCGTATCCATCATTCGATTTGAACTAGTCGAAGCATGAATCGTCGTGAGATTTTCATTCACCACTAAGCTACTTTCACTATTAATAGAACTAAAAATAGAAAGTGGATTATCGGAATTTACCTTTAGGGTTACATCCAGTTGTCTGCGATAATAATTTAGGGCACCTTTTAGCGTATATTCATCAGCAATTGCTGGCGTATTGCTCGTGTTATTATGAATATTTCCATAAATAGAGCTTTTTGCAACAAAATCGGTTTCAAACTTAGTAGGATAATTTTTCAGTATGGATTTTTCAGTAATTGTTCGAGAATTTTTGCTGTTTCCGCTATTTCTGTAAATAGTATTTTCTAAATTAATGTCAAAGTTCATATTAGAATGATTTCCAAGTATTCTTTTAGTCTGAATAATTGTAGCATTAGATTCAATATACTCCACTTTGCCTGAGTCGGTAGCGTATAATCCAGAATCTTCGCTTATACGAGTCTGAATAAAAGTGTTAGGATTGTCTATTTTTGGAAACCATTCATCAGATTCTTTTATCGTATTATGAATGCTAGGTTTCACTGTATATTTTCCAGTATATTTTTTAGCACTAATTTTTGGTTTACTTGGACTTTTGATTTTTTCCTGTGTTGATATTTCTTTCGTAGATGGCGCATCTTTTTTTGAATTTCTTGATGTTTTGAACTGATCATTCGTACTATTACTTCGAGTTGCTTCCTTCTTCGTATTATTCGTCGATTTAGTATTATAAATTTTGGATTCAACATTATATGCAGGTGTGACTGATAAAGTTTGTCCAGAAATAGGCTCACTAGCCGACCGAATTATCGATTCGAAACTGAATTTAGTGCTGAACAACTGCGAGTTATTTTTAATTTTGGTCAAAACGCTAGCTGAAAAGAAAATATAGATATAAGGCAGTAAAGTAAAAATAATACAATAACAATTATTATTTAACATTTCCCAGGAAACTCGCCCTTGCCCTAAGGATAGAAACTCGAGTGCCCTTTGACTCTTCTCAAAGCCTGTTTTATTCCATATTCCTTAAAATTCCTATTCTCTGTTCTTTTATTGCATAACTGCGGTTGTGGAAAAATATATTACACGATTGCAATAAGGGAAACTTTATGTCCCTTAAAGAAAATTTGATATTAAGGAGCTATGGATGAATATGCTAAAGAAGCAAACATCAATTTTTTTTTGGAATTTTGGAAATGCAGGTTAAGAAGTGGGAGATTTTTTATAAAACATACTAATTTTAGGTTTTATAAAGCATACTAATTTTAGGTTTTCAAAGAAAGCTACAACACGACAAATTAAGACAATTTCTTTCTCGTTAAAAAAGAACAATAAAGCAAACTATGGTACCAATAATTCAAATCTTTTTTTAGCGACCATTTTAAAATAAATAAAATGAACTTCTGAGAAAAATGATTATCAAATGATAATCTTTTTCCCCTAACTTTATCACTTTTTCATTTGTAAACTCACATGCCACATTGAAACTTACTTTCGGTTGAATAAATAATGCCCGATTTTTTTGTCTCTCTAAATTCTTCTTCTTCATTTTCCAAGGTTATCTAAAAATTTCCGTCCTTCATCCTTATTTAAAATCTTACAGTTATGAATCCTACAGCTCTTTAATATTGAAAATACAAAATATTTTCAATTTGCAATTTTGTATAGATACTTCAAAAATTATAAAAAGTAAAATATTCCAAAATTTTTATCAAATATTTACTCTAGCATCTGTAGGATTTATAAAATAAATAACCAGCAAAATGAGAAGATTCTTCATTCCTGAAAATTTACATCCACATCAACTCTTAACGCAATACGCAATATTAAAGCAATACTAAAATAAGCGTTTTCCTAATTCTATTCGTGTTTTATTCATTTCTTATTCCTATTTTCTCATTAAGCCTGATTTCTTCTTTCCTAAAAAAAATTTTAAAAATCTATGAAAAACATTTTTAAGTGAAATGCAATAAAACGAGATGTGAATAAATAAGAATTATTATCAAACAAAACCTTAGGAAAGAAGAAATTCTTCTCCAATACCATTAGTATCCAGACAACCATGCTAAGCTTAACATTATATTGCTAATCATTTTTATTTATTTACTTATTTCTTCCAATTTACTTTTATCCATAAATTTTCAGAATTATCGATTTATGCAGAAATTTATTGGAATAGTGATTCTAATCGGCACATAATTTGTCTTAAAATCGAAAATAAAAACACATAAAAAAGCACACTTATCCAATCCATACAAAAAATTTATTTAACAAATGACCAGAAACAGATTGAACTATAGGCTAAATTAGCAGGAAATAATCGTTCAATCAAAAATTGCAGTGCTTATGGAATGAGGCGATAAATCAGTTCTCAAGGCCAATATTTTTTTTGCCTCATCACTTCCCACCAATCGCGTATGTTGCAATTGTTGATAATATTCAACTGCTTCTTCAACGCTATCAACATTGATTAACGAAACAATCTATAAAAAATAATATAAGTTTACATTACCTGAAAAAGTACCAACTAGTCCACCACAAATCATTAATTATTATACATTACGCCAATTCTCTACCTGTGAAAGCCTAATACTTCTTTCTCTAACAATCCAACCAGCTGTTCCTGTTAGATAAGAAATAAGAGAACGAAAATCCTTATCCAACTGTATGCCGCCAAGTCGATTAAAGACACTTTTATGTATGACTCGTTCTATTTGGCGGCAAATTTCTGAACATACCGCCGCGAGCAATTCCTGAAATGAAAGCTGGTAATGTTTATTGAATATTTTATTCAGCCCAATTCAGTAACAAGTAATAAAATTTTTTTTTTGAAAAAGAACTGTACCTATACCTGATAATTTGCTCGGACAAGCAATGGCTCAAATGAGACCAGCAAAATATCAAGAGAAGCAATAAAATTATCCATGAACGGATCTACAGCGATAAAATCAGCAAATTCATTCTCTGTTGGAGTATGAGTGACATTCAAAAAAGCTTCGGTACTAAAATTAATTTGATAAAAGTCGTGATGGTGGCATTTCATAACCAAAGCGGAAAACTACACAAAAAAATATAAAAATTTTAGTTTTATAAAAAATATACCTTGATTTGATTTTAGGCCTAAAAGCAACAATACATAATTTTTCGACTCCTATATTGGCTGCATTATTAAATTTACGAATCAGATCATCGAATTGGCCTGTCGCACTAGCTAATTTCCCTTTTTCAAGGTCACTTATCTGAAAACACAAGAAATAAATAGATAGCCAAATGCTGTTCCAGGAATCTGCTGAGCTACTTTTCTAATCCATGATTCATAGTTCCAAGTGCTCTAAATCCCAGCAATTACTTTGGCCCTCACTTCCTACATTTTCTCTAATTCTTCTTTCAGCCGTTGGCATGACTTTTCATGTTCTTTCTATTCTTTCTTCCATATATATATATATATATATATATGAAAATTAAGAAAACTTTTTAAACGTGACCTGATTAAGATGTTTTTCAAAATCTTCCAAAAGCCCTTTATTAAGTGTCTTGATACAATCCACAGAAGCACGCATGTTGTTTAGCGCTGTGAGAAAAACCTGAAATCATATAAAGCAAAGTTGATAAAGATTAATATATAGATATAATAGCAAAGAGGGCAACTTCTTTTTGCTTTTCCGGACCAGCATCTGAAACTGTTTTACCATGCTGAATAACATTATACGCTGTTTGTGCAGTTTGATAAGCTTCAGCAGTCCAACCAACACTTGGATAACCATTCTGATAAATACATATGAGTAGATAAATGATAAGTAATCCTTTTATCATTTAATATTTATTATTAAAATAGATTTACTACTAAAAGATAAATGAAGAAGAGAACCTTAATCCCAGTGTTAATATAATTGAAAAATTCAATTTCTAATGCAGTGGCACCATTGTTCAACATAGCACATACACAATCAACAGATGATGAACTTAATGAGCGTCGAATGCATTTTCGTAAAATGAAAAACACATCATCCAACATTGAACTAAATTTCAAAATAAGAATGAAAAAAACTGTTAAAAAGATAAAAAAATAAATAAAAAGTAAACCTCGTAAGTGAATCCGATTCCCTTTGGTCCATTGCCATAGCTTTTGACAAAGATTCTTTCATATAATATTCTTCCATAAGAATATAACGTCCAAGTAACTCCTCAAAATATTTCCATAAACTAATAGGCAAATAAAAATTAAAAATATCTTTGGTCTCTAAAAATAAATAGAAATCCTTCACCTGCATTTTTGTTCCTAAAGCTGAACGATTTAAAAGATTATCCAATTTTCTGTCTCTATCATCTTTTTGCAATGCAGTTGCTTTATTAGACTTCACTGCTTCTTCTTCAGAAAAATGGCTGACAGCATTTGCCCTCTAAAATTATATTATAAAATATATAATAAAATATAAATATATATATATATATATAAAATATATAAAATTATATACATATAAAATTATAAAATATGAACTGAACTATAGGAATAATTTCTGAAACAACCGAATGAAATACCTGTTCATCAGTTTTTATATTAGCGGCATTAAGACGTCTCTTCAAATAACGCCAATAAAGTTCCGCACGTGTATGCATTAATGTTACTTCTGACAAAATTGTATCCAATTCTAAGGCATTTATTTTTTCTGAAATAAAATAAATAAAAAATCACGAGCTTTTTTGCAATAAAAAAAGAGTGAAAGCAATAAAACGGTAGCTTTAACAGAATTTAGATTTATAAAACCATGAAAAATTTTTTAACCTGACGGATTATAATTATCACGATTCCTTGAAAATTTTTCGATTAATTTTGCTTTAGTATCATATTGGCGATTTTTAATAAACGCTGCTATTATTTTACAAGATTCCTTATCACATTCCTTCTGAATTGGAAATATTTATAGCACATAATTAACAAATATAAAATAAAGATAAAAAAATAGATCTGGAAAAATAAACCTGTAACATCTCAATTAATGACAAAAGTTTATCAGGACCATAAAATGAATCAATTAGTGGCTCGTAGACTTGAATTTCTCGAGCAATTCCTACAAGCAACAAACGGAAATTCGCTCTGATAAGTTAAATGAACAAACAAAAGTAATGATGCACAAAGTATTAAATTAGTATATAATTTTATATGACAAATATAATATAATATAATAAGCTTCAAAAACTCTAAGAAATAAATAAAAATATATTAAAATAAAACAGTTACCTTCAAATAACATAGTGAGTGAGTCAGCATAAAGAACATTCGATCGCTTATCATCAGTGCCACCGGCCAACATGACCTTCAAATATACAATTATAATTCGCATGACAAACTGAGAATGGTCAATCAAACAAAAATCCTAAAGCATCAACATCAATTACGAACATAAATTTCTAACAATTAGTTGATTATCTAAAAATTCTTCTATACCTTATAATTTTTTTCAGCAAATTTCTGAATTTCGAGACATAAGTAGTTTGCGAAACGAGTAACACCATTCATATGATCATTTATTAGAGGGAATAATTTAAAAAATCGTTGTATGGATGCCACATCATTTTTTGCCACAGCCTTAATATGGAAAATTTTAATATTAATTTAATAATATTAAATTAATTTATCGTTTTTACCAAAAGCAAAAATTTATCAAAAGGACAGCATATTAGCAATTTTTGAAAACAATTTTCAATTTATGAAATTAACGAAAAAAAATTCAAAAAACAGCTTAAAATAAACGAGATGAAATAAAAAAGCGAAAATTCTAAAATTACCAAAAATAATCATCAGATTATCAATTAACAACAATAAATATACAAGTTAGTAAAGAATATTATATTACCTCGTCAAACTTTGATTCAACGATAGCTTTTAATTTCTCTGTTGCTTCCCTTAAAACTTCATAATTGACCTTCATAGACTGACCCGTATCTTAAATACAAATGTAAAATTTTATTATATTGAGTACTTTGAGTTTGAGTTTCGTATGATTAATAAATCCATATTTCAAAATTGGTCAAATTGGTCAACCTTTGGCTTCAATTTGATCACCCATTTGAAACACAGCAGTATCAAGGGTTAGAAATTTATGAATATGTTGAGCAGCTAATTCATAATCTTCTTGATCCATTGCTGCATTAACACCTTGTGCACATGTCCGTAAATCCATTAAATCACTTACTCGCTGCATACATTCAACAACGCGACTTTTTGCAATATCCAGCGTAGATACCTGGAATAAAAATACCTTCACTACTTTCAAAAGAAAAACAATTCTACTGATTCTACATTCTACTGATAAATATTCCATGAATTCTGAAAAAATACTTTAGAAGAAATATTATCCGCCAATCCAGATATCATTTTTAATTTGTTCGCTAACTGTTTGGCGTCCGACTCGACAAGAGTCATTTGGTTATTTAAACGCGTAACAGCGAAATTAAATGGTCGTGAAATATCAGTTCCACCTATAAAAGAATATTACCTGATATGGAAGAAATCAATGAAAAGCAAAATAATTATATTTATTGGTAATTATAGAAAACAATACCAGAGGCTAAAATAATTCGCAAGGTAATAAAAATAAACCATTGTTAGCGATAGTTTTTTCCAAAATCTCATCAATATTCTTTAAAATTTTTTCTTCTTCTAAACGCTTAGATGAGAGCTCCGACCTAAAAGTGAATTGAAAACGCAAACTGAAAAAAATGCAACAGTTGATCAATCTCAATATTATATAAAAAAAGAGAAACAAAAAGGATAAAAAAGTAAAATGAGAAAATAATTTAAATATAAATAGTATAATTAATAATTTATAATATATCTAAATAATAAATCTAAAGCATAAACAAACCTCAGTTCTGATAACAAATCACCAAAATCGAACTTCAAATTTGCCGATTTTGTATCGGAACGATTTTCTACATTTGTATGCTCATCTATAAATAATATAAATAATGAAAAGATGAAAAGAAATGGCAAACACTTAACAAAAATAATGTAATGATGAGAAAAAAAAAAAATTCACTTCAATATATACCTTTGATTTGAATATTTTGTTTTTTGAAGGATATATCAGAATCGAGTTGAGCTTTCAATTTTACGTTGTTTGCAATAGCTTTTCCATTCATTACAGCAGCGTCATAACTGGCCGTATTCACTGAGGAACCAACATCACTGTCACCAATTGTTATCGAAGACATTAGTGGGAAAAAAAACTAAAAATAACCAGAGACCAATTATGCTAAATCATTTCGACATTTCACATATGATAAGAAATATGAATTTGGAAATCCATAAACAAAAAACTTACACAAACATAAGAAATATGATAAATATATTCCAAAGAGCAATAAACACTCGAAAATATTGCAAAGATAAAAGAAATTCACGAATATGATCCCCAATTGAGATTGGTTCACCTTCAAAAACTGTGAATGAGTGAAACGTTGGTTTTGATCTGTAATTGTCAAATATCTTTTAAAGACAAATTCAAAGAAATAAAACAATTAAATGAAATAAATTTAAGGAGAAATAAACTAATAAAATAATAAAAGTCGTATAATAATATTAGTCTTCAAGCTCTTGCTAACACTTGAATCTCTTTAAATCGCTTTGAAACGTATGTGACAACGACAAAAGTTTAGGCATCATTACAGGACAATGAATTTGAGAAGCATGATAATATAAAACAAGATAATGCAGTGAGTTTTGAATCGAAGGTAGATTAAGGTAGATAATGCACAAAAATGCAAAAAATGTGCCTAAACGAATAGCCAAAGCTAAAATGATTTATAAAGATTAACAATTGGCTTAGCTAAAATCTAGCATCATGGATTCCATATCGGGCAATGTTGGTTGGACTGCATGACATACCTCCCAGCATCAAGTGACTATTTTAGCGAAGTACCTCATCCTAGAAAATTTTAACTCATTATGAACATCTATTGTAAGAAAAACTTATAATCAAAATAATATACGGCTGAATAAAAAAAAAATATTTTTTAAAGATTAAAATGAAAGGCTAAAAAATCAAATAAAAAGGCTAGAAAGATTTAATCAAACGCTAAAACTATGTAAAAAATATTTTGTAAAATAAAATAAAGGGCATTCGCATTATTTATTATGGTACATGTTTGTAGATGCGCATTGTTTTCCTTGCAATCCTTTTTCCTCCCTCATTTCTCTTTCCTTTTCTTTTTCTTTTTCACTCCTATATTCTTTAATAAATTCATTGTGATATTAATAAGTTTCCTTGCCTCTAGTACGATCATCTACCAAAGCTCACCAAGTTTTCGCCAGCAGATAAGTCTCACATAATATTTTCTTCCAATAATATTTATCATTTAAATTCTCGTTAGACTAATTTTCGATTAGAGATGGTTCCTTAATACCATCCGCCGCGTAATAATACGAACAATGCCAAAGATGGAATAAAAAAAGGAAAAATTTTATTATTGAAAACATATAAAATGAAAATAAAAAGAAAACTAACAATTTAAAATTTAAAATAGCGAATGCATTAATGATAAGTGTTAAAGCGATAACAATTTCTGATAACATTCCTTTAGATAAAAGTCAATACCAACAAATTTTTTAATACGTTCATAATTTTTTTTTTCTTATTTATTATTTCTGAAAAAAAATGAGAAAATTTAATTTTTTTAATATTTAATTTTAATATTAAACTAAAATTTTCGAGAAATTTTCACTTTATTATTTGAGGATTCGCATTTCATGAAAATTGATACAAAATTTCAATTATTCGATTATTTTCATTTAATTAATTATTTAATATTTATAATCATTTTTGAGCTGAAAAATATAAAAAAAAAGCCAAACAAATTTGAAAGCTTAGAAAAAACGCTGAGTATTCCTTTTTTTTTTCATTTCTTTATCATTTTTATCATATCAAATTTTTCCTTTTTCACACTCTATCTTTTGCGCAAATCAATAAATATTAAAATTTTAAATTTGAAATTTTAAAAACTTTTAAAATTAAGAAAATTGAAAAAAAGGACGTTTTTACTATTAAATGATAAAAATTTATTCAAAAATTTTCTTTTTTTTCTAATTTTTCATTTCATTTTTATAAGAATTTTTCGATCTTCGAATATTCTAATTGCAGAAAAAAAAAGAAAAATGAATAAATCCATTAAAAAAATAATTTACTGGTTAATTTCTTAATTAACTTTAACCTTTTTTTTTGCGAAATGTAAGCCAATATACGTGACGTGGATTCTTTTAAATAATTGGGTCTCGAAACGAAAATATAATCATCGTTAGAGCACAATAATTTTTCCAAATATGTGCAATGTGAGATCAGTGAGGGTTGATCTTCGGATCAGAATTTTTTCGTGAAACGGGTCGGTTAACGGGTTTCGTGGGTACTTTTTAGTCTGTCTAATCGATTGGATCTTTTTTCTTCATTTTTCTTCATTTTTTTTGCAAACTTTTCAAATTACGATGTATTGCTGCTGCTGTCTATGTAACCGAAGAGTGTTTGACCAATTTGATTCGCAACAAATTGATTCTTTTTGCAGAGTCACCTAAGGATTATTCCCGGCGTGTCGCTTAGGAGAACTCGAAATCTCAAAACCTCAAAAAGTGCTTGAAATTCAGGTATGAGAACCATACGTAGAGGCTTCCATAGATAATCGTCTAAAATGGCGGAGGTCAATTTTTCGCATATTTAGCGGAAATATTTGCCGTTCCACCTGGATCCATCTTTCACAAAGGTGGATTCTGCACTAGTCAGAATTAGATTAAATCTCCATTGTCTCGTGTTCGATTGATTGCTAAGTTAATCTGATTGGATTCCTTATGTTTGGTGCGGTAATTAGCGTGGTCGTTTAGTGATTAAATCTAAATAAATAGTTCTAAAGACTGCAGAATCATTTGAATTTGTAGAATTGTACTGCAGAAGTCGTTACTTAACAGAGAATATGCCATTGTTCTGCGCTTTTTCAAAAGAATTCCGAGAAATTATAGTGCAAAAATTTCTTCAGTTTTAGTATCGAAATTTGCAAAAGTGACTATTGTACACCATATGCCATGTTGGCAGATATTGCATTGCATGTAATAGTGCTTTTGATTTTGCTAGGAAAATGTCGTTTCTGTATAGATTTGCAGCATTTTCTCGAGGAGGATTTTTTTCTAAGAGCAATTATCATTTCTGATTAGACTTATTCCGCTGACTTGTCGGAGCATATTTTTTGAATGTGAAATTAACTGATGTTTTTTTTTTGTAATTTTAATTAAAATTACAAAAAATGATTTTAATAATTCGGAAAGTACAAGGAAAACAATTATTTTTTTTTATTTACATTATATCATTAATTCATATTCATTTATTTTTAAAATTTTTAATATTTTTTTCTTCAAAAATAAGATCGGACGAGGTAAATAGAAAATATAAAAACTATTAATATTAATATTTTATAGAAATAATTCGTTATATTCGTTCTAATAATTCGATGATTCTTTTAATCTTCTCATTTATTCATATCGAATTTTGAAATAAAAAAGTATGCAAATATGAAAATAATTAATATTTAATAGTTAAAATAATCTTTTGAAACTTTTTTTTCATCATTATTGTTTTATAAGCATTAATAATTTTAATCAACTTTTTATAATTTTAAATGGGTGATTAAGTGGCGAAGTGAAAAGATAAGGAATGATAAGATGATAAGATGATATGATAATTTGGAAAAAATTAATAAAAATAAAAATTATTTTATTTTATAAATAATTTTGATTAAATTAATTAATTTTTTAGTTTAAATTTTCATTGGTGTCATTCATTTGATTTCGATTTTTCAAGGATATAAATTTTTTCAAAGATTTTAATAATTTAATAAATTGTTAATGGCACTCAAAAAATTATGTTTATTTTTGATGAATAGGAAAGAAATTCGACTAAATAGCGTAGCGTAGTAATTTGGATATTATTCAATTTTATTATGAAAAAAATATAAATAAATATAGTTTTTTTTTTAGAGAGAAGAAAAAATACTAGGAATTAAAATTTTCATTTTCTAAAATCCAATTCAAAATTTAGCTTAAATACGAGGACTAACAGCTTAACTACTAGCAGCACTACTGCTGGTTAGGTTGATTCCGCTGGCTAATCGAGTAAGGCCTATTGATTTGTAGCTAATTGTTTTATTTTGATTTAATTTAATTTAATAATTAATTTATTTAATGATTGCTATTTTTGGACAAAAACTTGATAAAAGAAAAAACACGATTTCGACACGAATGGAATGAATTTGAAAAATAATTATAATAATAACAAGCTAATTTAATCTGTGGGAAATGAGTTTGTTCGACCAAGTGTTATTCTATGTACATAAGCAATTGGTGAAGTTGCAACTGTGTCCAGAGGTGAAATTGGTGCAATCGTGTTTGTCGCATCGAAAGCTTTTCGCTTTCCGATCGGTTTCTTATTTGTTTGTTTTCCGAAGTTCATCTAAATTAAAGTTAATCTCATCAGTTGATCATAAATTTCATACCATTTATTTATACCATTTAAGAAGGTATATTTTCTTCAACAGTGGTCGTCAAACTTCTTTCTACAGTCCTCCAAGGTGATAAAAATCTATGTGCCACTTCCCTCTCCACTCCCCTCCTTCAGTGCAACGTTTTCTGTTGTAAAATTTTAAAATGTTTGTTAAATTTTTGCATCTAAGAATTTGAAGACAATAAACTGCATTCAGATAGTTGAACCAGGCTTGACTCCAGGAGGTTATTAAAATCTACCATTTTATTCGCTAGAGTTCAAGCTATCAAAGAGTCGATTAGATGATCTTTCAACTATTTTCGACTTTTCGTTGTACGCCATTTAGATAAGTATATTCGCAAATAAGTTGGAAAAAGTTCCATAAACCAAATAGTTTACTCCACTCAGTATTTTCACTATTATATTAATTACCTCGTGATTAATTTTATTTATTAATTTCTCGGTTTTGTAGAAACTATCTTTTCGTTCATGTGATTGTTGAGAACTTCGCTCCGATGAATCCGCGCTAATACTTGTTCCTAAACCTGAAATTCCAACATAAAGAGTATAAAATTGATTTAATTTTTAAATAAAAATTACATAAAATTTAATAAGCACGGATAAGCGCCAATTCACCTATATTTCTATCGTAAAATTCTCTCAGGCAAAATTTGATGGAACGAGCCGGAGGAGCGAGTCCAAACAGAAATGCTGAGCGCCTCTTAGAAAAAAAAAAGAAAGATGTGAAAGAATAACTTTTTATTTTTATAAATTATGAAAAATAATCAGTTACCTGAGGTAAAAGCTGTAAGCATAGCTGGTAATACTACTAAACCATGGAATGTTCCAAGTATTACCACTACGACAACTGTTTTTAAAAATACGAGAGCAACATAAGACTGTTTGAAATAAAGTGGTAGCAAAGCAATTATTGTTGAGATTCCAACTTGAGCCATTGGCCAGCCTATCGCAGCTAATGCTTCTTCTAGTCGATCGCGAGCATTCTGAAATTCTTTATCATCTAGCAGCATATAATGTTATTGATTTGAATGGTACTGCTATTTAAAAAACTGTGGCTTCTATTATAAGCAACGATGGCAGCAGATCATACAACTTGGTAAACGTCTTACTCTTGTAGCCAGCGGAGCCAACCTAACCAGCATTGGTGAGAAAGTACCACTATTTCTTAAATCCTTTTGTCAATGAATTATTTAGGGCATATATTGGTCAAATCTAGATTTCACTCTTAAATAACAATTATAATGGCGAGAATCGAGTGCTCATTCTATTGCGCCTTAGGCAATGTATCGTATAATGATCTTTTATTCGAGTGAATTATGCATGGAGCGTACAAAATCAGAACTTGTTTGGTGCTTAATTATTTATTTTTAAAAAATTAATTACCTTTCCAGTTGTCTTATAATAGTGATAACTGATATGAGCGGTGAAATCGACCGAAAAGCCAATTGCCATTAATAAAGCGACCATTGAGAGCGGATCCAAATCGACTTCCCATTGAGCTAATATTCCAAAAATACCAATACTTATACTAAATACGGAATATACCGCACAACTTAAACTTATTATATTCGGTATAAAGATGAAACAAGCTGTTGCAGTACAAAATAATGCTGCTAGAACACTCCATAATACTGTACTTTCAATTTGCATAGTCTGAAAAAAAAAATAGTGAAAAAAAAATTGCAAAAATAAATAAATATTTTATATTTATTTCGATAAATATTTTATGCAAATTTTTTTATAGAGTCCTCACCATTACTCGTTAAACTCGCTCCACTGGCTTGTCGCATTAGGCAATATGCCAGTGAGTCCCTTGGCGATAGAAATATAGGTGAATCGCCAGCATCACTCGGATTTTTGTACAGATTTACTCCTGTGGACCAATTATGTTAACTCTATATTAGTCTGATTATAAAACCTAATTTCTGCTATTATTCAACTCCATGCAATAGTAAATCTAATTTTCAAAAATCCAAGTGATGATGCTGGCGGTACTTCCTTCTCTCACCTTCTCTCACCTTCTTTGGCAAAATTTTTATAGATTAACAAGCCAAGAGAGTGAGGGAAATTCCTTAATTAGAAATGATAAACTTATTTTTTTCTTAAAAAAAAGTTTTCATAAGTTTTCTTTGCACAAATCTTTGCTCTTCTATCGGCCTTTAAAAGTGATTTCTTAATAGTTTTAATTCAATTCAAATGATTCGATTTTAATTAAGTTTTTATAAAATTTTTAAAAGTTGATGTCCTTGAAAGAGTATTTCCGGTTGATTTGCAAAGTTTGTCGGTTTTGCTTTTAAAACCGTGTTAATCGTGTTTGCTGTCACATTGTTGCATTGTTTCATTTGGTTTTAACCAGCCAAAAATTGAATAACCTAATTTATTATTCACCTATCATTGAGCATTTATCTATCTGTCTATCTGTCTATATATATATATATAAGAGAAAATGCGGAAAATGAAGGCCAAAGTTATCCCACTACAAAATAAGAGTACTGTGGGCAAGAACTTGGGCTATCACCGCCTAAACAATGTTTACAGCAAATCCTAAGAACATTAGAGGTTTCTATCCAGCACATCTAAGGATAACTAAAATACACAGAATCCTCAATTTTCTAGGCCCCCAGTGTAGGACCCAAGGTTAAAGATGATCGTTATCACTGATAGGGTATATATGTATATATATTTTCTTCACAAATATAATTATATATATTATATTCATTTTGTTAAAATTAATAACATTGAAGAATTAAATTGAATTATGAAGAAAATAAAAGAATTGTAAGAAATCGTTAGAAAAATGATTTACGCCATTTCTGACAAAAATGCATCATTTTTTTTTTTTTTTTTAGAAAAACCTGATTTCTTCTTCTTTCACATGAAATTGTCTTTTCATGAATTTCTTTTTAATATCGCACGAAAAATTAATGAACATTCTTCAAATAAGCAATAAAAAATTTTGCAAAAAAAAAAGCGAAAAAAAAAGTTGCAATTTTTACTTGATCAACGAATGGCGAATGATCGCTATAAGGGTATACTTCATAATCAGAATATTTCGCGGCAATTCGCCTCCATTCTAATACAGCTGGTACCATCTCATTGTATTTTATAACCTTAAAATTAGTGATTAATCCAAGTGAATATTAATTTAATGCCGAATGAATTCCTTCCATTTCAACTGGAACCAGTCAGTGTTGATTAATTGCGTCAATCCGTCATTTCCGTATGTAAGCATGGCTGATTACGGCAATGACCAATTGTTGTCGTATTCGTTTCATGTGATACTAGTGATGCTATCATTTAGCATATAGCCAACTTAAGCCACATTATTATCAGTCTTCTTGCCCAATTAATAGATCAATATAGAGATATGGTAGTATTTTATCATTAAAAACCAACCAACCTGATGGAAATTAGTTACGAAGAAAAATGATGTTATGCAGTCTGGACTATCTTCATAACATGCAGTTTTATTAAGGCGAAGAAAAGAACTTAAAAAAAAATATGAAGTTGTTCGTAGAAAAGACGGTATATCCACGTAATTAAAATTACCAGTTTCGCTATAAAAACTGAAAGGCAAAAATTTTTAAAAAATTAACAAATTTATCTTATCACTGGAAATCACAAATTCAACGTAGAGCATTGGTTTTGATATGCTGGAGTTTTTTTTTTTTTTATTACAATTTTTGTTGCTTACAATAAGTTTAATTCCGGATAAACATTGAAATATCTTTAATAACTCTTAAATACAAATAGAATGAATGAATTTTCAGCGAGGATTCTTTGGCATTGATGGAATCTTAGAAGAGATGGACGGCATTCGAAAAATTGGTTGGTAGACAACCGTGTTTTTTTTAAATATAAAATTTCGCTCAGCGATTTAGCTTTTTTTTTAAAAAAAATTATACAATGGAACTACAAAACCAAGGCTTAGTTAAGTGAAAACCCAAAAATTTTCCACCTTTAAAAATTAAAATTTATTTTAAAAAAATTTAAAATTTTTATTTTTTATTTTACTTTTTTTTAGTATTTCAAGAGATATATTCAATTGCCATTTTAAAAAATTGATCTTTTTTTAGAAATAATTCAAATGATATGATATATAATTCAAATGATATGATATATGGTAATAGACAAAATGTTGGTGAATAATATAAAATTTCTGAGGAGTTCGATTGAAAAGAATAGTTTTTTTGGCAGAGAAGTCGATGCAGAAACAAGGCCTTGTGGGCCTTTGGTCTATATTATCGCTAAATAGAATAGCGGATAATTCTAGCGATTTTTTTCACCTAAGGTTCATTATGCGTTTGAATGCTTTTGAAATATTAACTTGCCTTAAGAAATCTTCATATTGAGTCAACCAGAAAAATGTCGATTTATTACCATAGCTATAAATGCTGTGTTCATATTCATTCACTATTGCTTTAATGCCTAAAAGAATAAAGGTAAATTTGGTTCAAGTTAAGCATTTTAGCATTTAGCTTATAACGGTGAATAAACGGTGAATAATTTAATGAATAACCATTTAGTCGATTCGGATCACGAAGATCACCAGGATTCATGATGAAAACAGTAATTGGCTGCATATTCCGAAGTGCCTCCTCAAATACATGTTGAAATCCTTGAAGATAGGAATCAGGTAATGCCATTTTATCAATTGAAATTTTTGCTTCAATTTTTTGGATACCGATTACCGATATGTAATAATAAATTACCATAATTAACACCAAAATTATCCTAAATAAAATTTTATTTTCGTAATAATAACATCTTTTTTATTAATTTATTAATGATATATAATAGACAAATTTAGTCAAATTAATGAATAAAAAGCATTGTTTTAAGTTTAAGGTGTAGTGGCTGGCTTCTTTCTACGGCCACTGCAGTTGAAGAAAAAAGACAGAACGATAAGGAAAACGTGCTATGGAACTCCAGTCTACGGGACAATAGCATAATTCTGGCATAATTCTAGTAAAAAATCGTCAGATAAGTTTGTTTAATTCTATTAACCATCAAAAATGAACTGTAACAGTCTGAGTGATTTTTTTTGGACCCTTTCAATTTAAGTTTCACAAATTTCCTGCTACATTAATTGCATAGATATTATTCTTTTTATTATCTATATGACTTATTATTGATTTTATATATGGAATAATGCAATAATAATAATAATAATAATAATAATAATAATAATAATAATAATAATAATAATAATAATAATAATAATAATAATAATAGTGATAATAATAATAATGATAATAATAATGATAATAATAATAATAGAATAAAAGCGTAATAGAATATTGTTATTATTTATAAAAATTGTTAACCTTGCTGGCCATGAGGAAATGAATCTAGACCAATTCTTAATTGTCTTTATTTGTAAATAACTTAATTTATCCACGAAATGATTCCTAGCCTGAAATTTTACAAATTTAATGGGAATGTTATAAAAATGAATGAAAATAAAATGAAAATAGTCAAACGGCTCCAAGTGGTGCTTGCAACTCACCTATTCTACTTTTATCACTAGTTGATTCCATGATAAAAATTAAAAATTCCTTATCATAACAACAAAGAAAGCGAGCCTAATGAAAAATGGTGAATAATGGAACAAAAAATTCTCTCTTTATTAAAAGAGAATTATGCTTTATTCTTCTTTCTTTCTTGTGTGAAATTTTGATGAAGATAATTGCATGAAGAAAAAAAAAAATCAAAACCGAAAATTAACCTGTGGATCAGCTTTTCGACAACATAGAAGCGACTGATAACCATTTTTTTCTCGCTTCCCACCAATCGCCAATACTGATGTGAATAATAAAAGCTGATAAAAATAGCAAATTATAATCGCAGTGCAAGAATAAATACAAAATGTTCGAACAGCTGGCGTTGTTGATATTACGCCGATTGCAAAAGATAAAGCATTTGTTACTGAACTGTAAGAAATTATTTTTTTTTATATCGAAAAGTCTTGAAAAGACTCGATAATTTGACATTTTTGACATTGTTTTCTATTGTTTCGTCCTTGATGAACAAAATTGCGATAATGATAATAAAATAATAAAGCAAATGAACGAAAGTAAACGAAAAATCAATGGTGAAAACGGCCAAAAATGGGCATGAATATATGGCTTAGAATTAGAATAGATTATCATTTTAAGCACAAAGATTTGTAGTAAATTCGTATTTTCTAAGAGCATTCACGATTACTGATTAGACTCGTTGAGTTGGCTTATCGCACTTGATAAAAGTGCTAGAAATTTTGTTGGCGATAGAAGTATAGGTGAATCGCCAGCATTACCCAGATTTTTTGACAGGTTTACTCTTGCGGAGAAGAAAACCACAGCATCGGCGAATTAAGAAAATAACCCACTGAGCCATTCTACTCTATCAGTAGATAAAAATGAAGTTATTACCTAATCGTTACTGATGGTCCAGCACTTTCTAAAGTTCTTGATAGTCGTTGTGGAATGTCGAGATTTGTATTTGTGCGATCCCAAGCTCGAAGAATAATGAATACATCATCAATGCCAACTGATAGAATAAGAAAAAATGATGCAACAGCGATCGACTGGAATTTTATGCCGAATGCCGATGTAATTCCGGTTGTGGTGAATAGCGTCATCAGAGGTATGAAACAGCCAAATAAAGATTCCCATGGCTTACTTCGAGATGGATTTTGTCTGAAATTTTAGAACACGAATGATAACCTAAAAATTTTTTCAAACAAATTTATGACTTCTGTAAATTATAAATTCGTCCCGCTTGTTATTATTATCTGCCGTTAATTAATGAATACTCTGCCTTATTCAATTCGTTCTACATGAAACATAATTTTATTATATGATTGTTAAAAATCACTATATCATTACAGGTAATTGCTGCTATTTCGAACCGCCGGAATGAATCAACTTGTGGTACCAACAAGCGCAACATTCCCAATATGCGTGTTGGAGAAAAACAAGCGTTTATCGTAGATTAGTTTATCATTTTGAGATTTTTGGGCATTTTAACCAAAAAAAAAAGAACTCGAATAGCCGATAATCAATTGTTTTAATTATTAATTATTCTACCTGAATGAACTTCCAACAACAAAAATGATCATCGCAATAAATGAAGGAATAAGAATGGGTGCAGTTTCGATACCCATTCGGCGTACTTCACTAGATACAAGAGTATCGCTTGTAATACCAATCTAAAATTTAAAAATTTTATAAGCACCAAAATTTTATAAGCCGTTTCGTCCATACATTTAGTATATAACAATTAATAGCAAATTAAAAAAATTCCATACCGATTTGCAATTAAAATATAAAATTGAAAACTGAATAAGTTAACTATAAATAAAAAAGGTAAATAAAATTTTATAAGTAAAACCAAATTTACCTTAAATAAATCGAATTCTTTATCTTTTATATTATTATGCAATTCCATTTGCCATTCATATAAAAGTACTTTATGAATTTCAGGTGCAACTACAAAAAATTGTAGTACAGCAGTAGTGAATGAGACAATAAGATTGCTATCGTCCAAGCCTACACCATATGCATTATTTCCTGCAAATAACTTGATTCTCGACGTTTTCATCATGAAATTCAAAAATTTTGTAAAAAAATATTCCAGAGAATTTTTTACCTATAAAAACTTGAGTTCCAAAAATTTCGATAGTCGGATATGTGTAAGAAGCTCGCCTTGAATCATTGTATTGATCTAAAAATGTTTTAAAAGCCGTATTCATCTCGCAATATGGTTCACATAGATCTGTATAATAATAGATTCGATCCATGTATTGAACGCTTATATTGTACTGTACTCGCTTTATTAAATTTGCGAGCGCTATTCGATAACGATCTCGTAACAATGAACCGCCATCATCAGCTTCAACCATCATATAAATCGGATCCATTGAACCATTCTAAAATCCAACTATTGATTTAAAAATTAAAATATTATTTAAGATCGATATAATTAAATTATTCAAGTTTGAAGGACAAGATATTCGAGTGGATAAATTATCGTGATGGCGATGAAGTTTCTAGTAAAATTCAGTAATGGATGGTACTGGCGACCTATTAATTCTATTTCTATTGCTAAGCGATCTCCGTTGCGAAAATCTCTAAGCATATCTCTAAATAGCCAGCGGAGCGAATAGAAATGTTGAGTATTAATCCGCTTTATTATTATCCATTATATATTTACTGAAAATGTTTATTAATTTACCATTCATTAACCTATGATGAATTTTTAATTCATACATTTAAAATTCTCATGTGAATATTTTTAATCACATTATAATGATAATTTGATAATGATAAATGATAATTTCATGATCAAAAGTATCAATCATTTGAATATTAAAAGGAAAATAAATGTTAGTTCATGATATTAGATTTTTTAATCATCTTGCCAGGACGATATTTGTCCTAAAGATTAGTTGATCCAAAGAACTTTCTTTATTGCCTGCCCTATCAACCATAAAAATATACTTAGTAAATAAATAAACTAAGAATTTTATAATTATATTTTATAATTATAATTATATAAAAATATAAGTTTTTAAAAAAATTACCTGTCCAAGAAATTCTTGTGCAATAGCGTATTCGATTCGACTCGGTGCATTAAGCGGTGAGTATTCGGTTCGTACATTATTCGCTTCATCAAACCTTATTAGGCCTAAGCCTGATAAAATCATTAATATTAATGAAGTTACAATGATTTTCACTGGATTTTGGCCAATATAGAAGCCAAGTTTTGAAAAAATACTTCCAATAAATAATTCGAGATCCTCAATAATACCCATATTTGTGAATGAAAAATTCGGTAAATATAAAGTTTTAGAAAGATATTATTTCTTAATAAATGATAACGTATTCATCAACCAGCATAAATTCTTTAATCAGAAAAAATTTTCGATAGTGTTGATTATTCTTGGTGTTGATGTTGTGAAAATACAATAGAATACGAGTTGCTAGCAATGAAGCCGTGAATATAATAGACTGAAATTTTTTAAAATATATTTTATTCGAGTAAGTAGAAAATGATTACAGTACGCGTTCATAGTTTTAAAAATTTATTCAGGACCTAAATTTATTCAAAAAAAAAAAAAAACTCATTCTTTGTTGTTTTCGTCTTATTATTAATGAATGAAGAAATTGTAAAAATTAAATATTGTTTTCAAATTTACAAGTATCTAAAAGAGGTTTGTTCTGGACTTCTAAAAATCTATGCACCGGAATTTAAGAAAATGGAAAATGGAAAATGGAAATTTCAACTGACTGCTCATTTGCTTTTTCTAAAATATGTCAAAAATATTAAAGAAAATTTAATAATTTAAAGAAAAAATTGAACTTGCATCAGTTAAAGAAACAATATTTGGCTTATTTCGCTAGAATATTTTATATATTTTAATATTAAATTTTAAAAAATTTATTAAAGAATTTCAAAGCATCCTTATAAGCGTCCTTAAACATATATTATTATATATTATAAAATATATATTTATTCATAGAATTATTTATTCATAGAATTAATAACATTAAGCAATGCTTTCTTGAAATGCCTTTAGAAAATTCAAAGTTGGCGGAGAAGTTAGCTGCAATAACTTATGAAACTAGCTATCTTAATCAATTTTATAGCCAGTTCGATTTGGTTGGATAAATATTTTTTCAATAGTATATTAGTGATAAAAATTTAAAAAATAAAAAAAAAAGAGCGGTGAGAACGAAATTTATACAAAGAGAAAATGCAAATTGTTACACATTTTCTTGAGTCGATCAATGCCAATAAGAGAAATAAGAAAACTTATCTTTCATTCGATGATTACAAAATTGGTTAACTCAATCCGTAAATTATTTAACGCTTAAAATTGATCTAAAATTGATAAATGATCTAATTTTTCTAGTGAAAAAAAAAATGATTTTTTTATTATATTTTTATTTGTATCGATAATTTTATTTTTTTAAATTTTCCATATTTTTCATACATTTCACAGCTGACAATTTAATTTCATGTCCTTTAACTGCAGAAGAGTTAAGAATTCAACAGACCATTGATTTTTAAATTTACAATTTAGGTAAGGTAGCGAGAAGGACCAATCAAGACCTCTAGTCAGAAAAGATTCTGAACTTGTAGATAGACTAGCGATATATGGATCTAGGTGATGGAAAAAGGAATGGCTTCTATTACTGTCAGCGGTGGAGTTGAAATGAGCAGCTTAGAGACATCTTATTTATCCTTACGTACCACTGTAGCCAGCATAGCCAGCCTAATCAATAATAATAAATGATAATAATGTTAGACCATTCGTAAGTGGTTTCTCATGGCACAAAATGATTACTTCGACTGCTGAATGTATCCAATATCCAATAGCAAAAAATTTAATAAAATATAAAAATGTTCAAAGAAATTTGCAAATTTGTCGAAAACCAGATTAATTTGAGCAGTTGAAATATGCAACGGAAATGATATTAGTACATCGTGCCAATTTAATATTTCTGCAGCATTGGAATTAACAAAATTTTATCATGGAAAGCACAAATTTTTATAAAATTTTTTGTACATTAATGCTGATAAACATAATGCTGATAATGCTGATAAATGATTCTAATGATATAATATAATTCGTGATAAAAGATAAGAAAGCCGATTGTAAAATGGTTAACATTATCGTGTTGACAGGCAATAGTTCGGCTCTTATTCTTCAAAAAGAACACTCACTCCACATATTTCTATATTCAAATGGCTGATAGTCAGTCGTGTTAATTTAACCAAAATTAGTGAGTGCTGATCGCTTAGAGTCGATTTGGCCCTCATTCGAAAATGAAATAAAGTGGTAAATGCGCCAATTCTTAAAGAACTAAAACATCTAATTCGATAGTTGGCCAAAGTTGTAGATTTTAATTTTCATGGATTCCAACCGAAAACTAAAAGAGTTAATGAGAAAGACAAAAAAGATCCAACTGACAACAGAACAAATCATTCATTCAATATTTTTGAAAATCCCCCATTTTAATTAAATTTTCACACTCTTTGATCTTTAAATTTTATGATGAAAATTGTATAATCGTATTTAAATGTGTATTACATGGCAATAAAATATTTAATAATATAGAAATAGGTATAAAATCAGCAGTTCAAATGGTGGTGCATTCCGATGGCTTAATAATAAGACGTTTATTATCGAGAAAGTAGAACGCACTAAGATTCGTTGGCTTTCGTCGAATGAAAAAAAAAAAAAAAAAAAAAAAAAACCGAGACAAAATAACCTACTGGTTATTGTCAATAAGTTTAGAGCGACGATAGGATTAAATTAGTTCATCAAAAGTTCGACTAACCTGTCGATTCTACCTAAATTTCTTCTATCGCTAAATTACTCCGTGGCAAAATTCGCCTTGTTCAATACGCTAGCTAATTGAATGAGGCTAAATCCTCAATACAGTAATCATTAATCAGCAAGTAGCCTCAAATAATTATTAATAAATTCTTTAAAAATATTATCGCTATTATGATAATAGTAATAAGATTATAGATTTCGATCTAAAATTCTAAATGAATAGTTCAAGTGGGGGGTCGTAGATCAACGATTTTTTCATAAAATTTTTATATTTATTATAATTATGAGAAAAATGAAAAAATACAACGAATCGCTAAAAGATATTTTTTTTCTTAATGTGTTGCATAAACGAGTTTAGCAGAAATTTGGTAAATAATTTCTTTTCATTAATGCCTCAATTAATATGCAAAACTTGTTTTCTTATGGTCCATATGACGTAATTTTTTTTTTAAAAAAGTTATTCGTAACCAAATCGAGCTGCAAAACCACTGAGCTATTCGATAGATTTCCATTTCTTAAAAAAGTGTGGTGTATTCGTAAAATTGACTATTTTCATAATTTTTAAGAAAAAATTTAGCTTAATCCTCCAGTAATCTTTCGATTTCGTAAAATTTGGTATATTGGAACAAAGAAAAAAATTTAACGTTCACTAAAATAATATTGCTAAGAAATCTATCTTAGGACAAAGCGGTAGCTGAAATACACATTCAAAGTAACAATTTATGCTATTAACTCATAAAATTCCATATTTTTTTTTTATAAAATATTTTAAAATATATAAAAAGAATAAGGGAGAAGGAAGAGAAACTAAGCATATGATTTAATAATCCATGAAGTTATAATTGATAAATTATGGCGTATCGCATTGTAAAATTGCAAAAACTCTGATAATTAACATTCATTTAGCGTAAATGATTTTGAATTAAAATTTTCTTGAAATAATAAAAAAATTTGCAATTTATTTGTAACAAAAAATTAGAAATAATCACGCTTCATTAATTTGATTTAATTTTAATATTAAGAAAATATTATTATTTTAATAAGAAAATATTATTATTTTATTATTAAATAATATTATTTTATCATATTTTAGAAATTTAGAAATTTAATGATTTGTTTATTTAATTTGCCAAATTTGCTCTTCAAAATTTTTTAAATTTTTAACAAAGTAACGACTCAACGCAAATATATTCCTAACAGTGCAGAATGCATAAAAAAGAATTAATATTGGCAAAAAATTTATTTGTTAAAAATCAAAATAAAATAGCTGTTTGAGAGAAAAAACCTAACGAAACCGGCTCATTTTATCATTTTTTTTCAACCTACTCGCTTATCACCTACAGTAATTGATCATTGAAAAATATGCTGAATCTAATTCATCAAACTGCGTGTGGCAAAATATTTTAGATGATTGAGAGTGCTTAATATTATAAGTTTATACTAAGGCCTAAAGTCTAATTAAAATTTCTTGGCGATGTGGCTAACTACTTACGATTCTATTCTCTTCCTCTTCAAGTAACTATGTGGCGAAAATGTTTCATCGTAATGTTGGGATGAATCAAACTAGAAATGATGAGCGCTATTTGTAGATGAAGAAATTTGTTTGTAGATTGTTGTTAGTAAATTTGTTAGAGAATTATTTATATTTAAATATAAATTAAAGACAATCTTCAAAAAATTTCATACATGTGATACGTGTATTATTTCCCACTAACTGGATTATTCCAGAATGAACGATTAACCAAATTTTTTTTTTGCAGGATAAAAATTTTAAAAAATAATAAAAAATGGAAAATTCTGCATTGACCTTGAAATCCTAAATTTTCTTCTCTTCATCGCCAATGAGCATTTTTCCTTCAAATTATTCAAACTTCTTTATTTTAATGTGATTTTTAATTAAAGTTTAAATGAGCGCTTAAGTAGTACTCACTGTTAACTGTTCGTACTACATTGAAATTATTACACAAGGGCAAAGATTTTCGAAAGAAAAAACAAGTTTGGCACCCTAAAATATTGGGTCAACTCTCATGCAATTCTTCATTATGAAGAAATTAAAAACAGCAATTCAAATATTTGCATTTTTATCTGCACATATCTTCGCACCGAAATCCTTTAATAGCTTTTTGAAATTTTTAAAAAAATTTTCTTCTGCAATTTTTGCAATAAAATCTTTCATCGAAGAGGTATAACCAATTTGTTTAACTTATGGTTTTCTTTCGTTAGAACAACTCCTTTGTGATAAACAAATTCATCATAATTTTGATTATAGCGCATTTTAAAACAATAAAAATAAATTTAAAATAAATGAATTTAAACGAAATAAATAAATTTTTATTTTTTTCTCATGGTTTTTATTATTGAACATTAACTGGATTTTCGATAAAAATTAAATAATGAACAAATTTAAGTCCTAAAAAGTTGTCTTTCTTCAAGTTTCTTTCAACATTGATTTTCATATTTCGTATTTCATTATATATTTCATTTTTTTTTACCAAATTTAATTGAAAAATTCATAAGGTTTTTACAATTAATAATTGATGGTAAAGCTTTTATGAAAAATTAGCGTGTGACTATTTAAAACGCTGAAATTTTCGAATGAGTAAATCTTTGGCTTAAGCCAAATCCAAAGAATAACAATTATGATATTTGATAAGATCAACACAGATATAATATTACTAATTATTTACATAATGAAAAAAACTATTAAGAAGAATAGTTTTAAGAAAAGAATATTTTTCGGGATAAATTAAACCAGAAATTTTCCTTAAAAAAATTGTTACTGTATCATCTCGATAAGTTTTTCCATTGAATATGATGATTCGAAATTTTTAAAGAAAATAAAAAAAATGAATTAAAAGAAGAGTGAATTAATAATAAATAAACGAAAATTATGAATTATTAATTTTCAAAAAGTTGAAAAATCATCAAATAATTAGCAAATAAGTAAGAAATTTGCACATTATTACTCTAATGAAAATTGTGGTACACGAAAAAAGTTAGGAAAATAGGTTTCAAGAGAAAAGGAAAACAAAAAAAATCTTATAACTATTAATTATTATAATTTATATATATATTTATTATTATAATTTTTTTAATGCTTGCAATAAACGAAAATTTAAATTGATGAGTGTTGTTTTTCACTGAAATCACCGTTAAAAAACCTGTAAAAAATCTTTCTAACGAGAAATAAAAAAAGCAAAAGAAGGTGAAAAATATTCTATGATAAAAGAATGATAAATTGATAAAAAAAGAAATTGTGAAAAAAATTTTTAAAAAAATTATGATGAATATAAAAACTAATGAAAACACTAGCAGAATAAAAAATTACATGCAGGTACAAAATACAAGGAAATTTAGTAAAAATTTCGTCAGTTTCATTAGTTTCATTAGGTTCAAATTTATTTGCTCGATTTCTAGGGTAAGCATAGAGGTGTTAGAGGAAAGAGAACAATAAATTTGGTTTTTTATGGGAGAGAGGCATTTTTTATAGGAGAAAGGCTTTTGAAGGAATTATGTGATATATTCATTTGTATACATATATTTTCTCGGGAAAAAAAGCCTTTCATCCAAAACCAGTCATTTTTTAGTCAAAATTCTTATCAACTCGACAAATACTGTCTTCTATCCGATAAGCCCTTGTTCATTGGCAAAACACATTATATTATATTACCAGTTATATTCTGTAAAACTTTTTCTAACAGGTCTAATCATCCTTCCTCGGAGCCCGTTATATATCGCTCAAAATTTCAAAAAAATTAATTCTTCTATTTATAGTATGTTAATACCCGACCAGAACTTCGCTGCAATATTTCATCACGAATCGTCATCTCTTTACGCTTTCTTATTTTAACAAATTAGGTACGTTTATAGTTCTTGAAAAATTCTTCAGAGCCACTAATAAGTTTCTCTCCATGTTTTTTATAACCACCCATGTTATCACTCTTTATGGCCATTATATTGTGTCGACTTCATGAACTATGGTGAACTGGCATGATTTTCTTGCTGAAATCAATGATGGTTAAAAAAGTGCGTTGGGTTCTAAGATGCTTTATTTGTAAAAAATCTACTTCTTTAAGACAATATTTAAAGCTAAACGAATCCACTTCTTTTACCATTGTCTCTATATTGTTAATACACTATCCGATTCGTTCAAATTTTCATTGGGCCTTATCAATATTAACAGAAGATAATACTTGGAACGAGACATCAATTTTTCGACAATCAGTGAAGAACAAGCCATAAGAAGCTTTTGGTACTTGGTGCTTTTGGTATTTTTTACTTTTGGTACTTACTGCGCCATCAATACGTATAGCATTTAGCAGAAATGGATGCAGTAATGGTAGGGTCCTATTAGAATAGCGAATGCATAGGATGAGCGAATGATAAGAATAAGTTTATTAAAATTGCCAATTGTCATGATATATTCTACCCCTTTTTTGCCAGATTTCGCAACCACGCAATATTGTGAAGTAGATTCGAGTTTTGTTGTTGTTTTCCCGACTTTCATAAAATTTCCGCTTGACAGCAGAAATTTCACTATACCTTGTCGATAATCCTTTTTAGATATTGAATCAGTGATCACAGGGAAAAGATAACCCTTCTGCTCGCCAATTTCATTTTCTTTGGTTGTATCAATTGCTCTGTAATAGTTACTATATTTATAGGTTAATAAAGTATTTGAATAAGTAGAATTACATTCGTTTGGAGAAGCGATTTTACATGAGCCAATCAATGAAGAACAAGCAGTAACAAGTTTTTGGTACTTGGCAGTTTTGGTACTTTTGGTAAAAGATGTTGCCATACCTAAGTAGTAGAATCACTGAATCAGCAAATAACATAGATTCTTAAAATTAGGATTTGTTCATTACAAGAATGTTTTAGCTTAAACGCAACGTAATTGAGATCCACTTATTCTTATCTATATAGCTGTAGTTATTCAGTAGGTCGTTCTACTGATTTAGTTTCTCAGTACTTCTTATCATTTTTCTCAGATATTGGACGCAAAATATGGAGGCTTTTCATTAAGTAGGCTAGCGAGAGTTTTTTTAATCACACGTTAGCGAAAGATATATAATAAGAAAATAATAATAAAAATAAAAAAATTATGGGCACTATCTATGAGATTTAGGTTAGAGACTATTTCATTATTCGAATTTTGTAGACCGTGAATATCGGAAAAAAGGAAATTTTTTCTCTCGGTTGGCGACTCATTAGCTCCGATTGGCATTCGATCCCCCCTTTCAATCAAGTGACTAGTGGTGGATGACTTATTTGTAATTAGGTTGAGAAAGAATAAGAAAGAGATTAATAATATAATTTATTAATTATAGCCCAATTTATAGATCATTTCTTCATTCATGAGCCATGAAAACGATATATCGAATTTCAGAGAAAACTTGCTCTACTGGAATGGTTAAATCATCCTTAAAGTTTAATGTGCGATTCGTTCTTAAATATAAGAATAAGTTCATGAAACTAAATCAAAGCTATTAACTTAGCAATTTCGTCCAAGAAAATTTATAAGCCTTATGAGCCTTTGTTTGTTGAAAAAGATATTAGGAGAAATAGTATGAAAGAAATAAATTTTCTGTAGTATTTTATGATAATTCCTAAGATTTTTCAGGTTTTAAGGCAATAAATAACAAGTAACTGAAATAGTGAGAAGTGGATTTTCTACCAATGTAATATTCATTATTTCTGGCTTGGCTAATGCTAATGGACAATTTCTCAGATTTTTTCACCAGAGAAAGATAGAATCATTCAGTTATCATCTATGAAAGCGAATCGAATATAGAAGCATAAGTGGATTAGTGCTACTCGGATTTTACTTTCACGAATAGGATCATTCTAAACTAAAATAAAGGATATTGTAATGAAAATTAGGGATAGTAATAGACAGCACGTAATAAAAATGCTGCAGTACTATTTAAGCATTTTTAAGAGGCACAAGCAATGAAAAAGTGATTATGGCAAAGTTTCGACCGAAATAAATTTTCGAAAAATCGAATTTACAATATATTGAACGCCGTCCAACAAATTTGGTACTCGAAGTGTTTTCTTCTAAATTAATTGACATAAATATGCTTCTCTGAATGGAATGAAAATTTCGTCGAAATTATATAATGTAATCAAGTTAGATATTGTTAGATATCAATTCATATGATATCAAGGAGTTAAAAGTAAGGAGTTATGAATAAAGTATGGACTATTGTTCACATTTGGAATTCCATTGCCAGGATTTTAATCTAATTTGCATGAGTGAAACACTTCATATTCGAGTAAAACAAGCGAAAAACTTCTTCTTGGTAATATCTGATCCGATAAGTTGCCAAAGCTTCGAATCTATTCAGAAATATTGAATATTCTTCAAAGAAGAAATAGAATTAAATTATAGGTTCGAGTCTATTAAATGTCTCTTTTCGACTATAAAACTATAGCAAATTTGTTCAATAAATCTTAAATATTTAGTTATGATAAGTTGAATAATTCATTTAGAATCTAAGAAGGAGCCAAAGAAAAATAGTTTTGAGAAGGAAAAGAAATGTAGAAATTCATAAGAAAAATATTTAAATAAACGATTGGTGGAACCTCGAAAACCAAATGAAAGCCAAAATAATGAAAAATTCTCATGAAAATTGAAAAAATTTTTTTTTTTTTCGATTAGGAATGTTGTTTGATAGGAATCTTTGCTATCGTATTCCTACTTAATCGTATCCCGCTTCAATCTTTCCTTTTTTTTGCATCAAATTCAGCTAAGCTTTCTATTGTTTCAAATGAAGAAACATTCATTATCGCTATAAATATCAGAATTTTTATCAGTTGTTGAATAAGTCTTGTAAACTAATAGATAATGAAATTTATCTCTTAAAAATTAAAAATCTCTTTGAAAAATTGATCAGATAAATATCGAGAAAAATTCCCTTAACTAATTTTTTCTAGTTTTTTATCTATTATCTAAGGTTAGCCTTATCAATGTTATAGTAAAATGGCTAATAATCTAACCTCTCGTTTGCGTCAACGATCATTCACTAATTTCCAGTTGGAATTTCCATTTGCATTAATCGACTAACGAATTTAGTGGTACCTATTTATGATTTTCTCACCAATGAAAATCGCCTTAATTCCTTACCTTAAAGTTAAAAGCACACAGCAATCACTCAGCGATAGGAATCCGCAGGATGCTTCGTAAAGAGCCATAGTCCTTGATTATTTTATAAAAACGCTTCCGATCAGGAGAATACCATCATACAGTCTTTTTTTCGGTAACTCTTGTTATCTTAATTTGGCTCCAAAATCATTCATTCCTCTTTCCTTTTCCCTGGCGTATTACTTTCCCATTAAAAAACGATTCCAATCTTTTTCCAATCTCATTTCGTCTTAAATCTCTCTTTTAAGTTGTCTTTTTCACTAATTGTTGTTAATTTTTCTTTTATATCCAATGACTGCATAAGTTCTTTGTTATTAGAACGAATCTATTGCGGCGATTCTTACTCTAATTGTGGCAATTAAATTAAAATTGTTGTACTTTTTTGAGCTAATCATCATAAATTTTCATTTAGATTACGACTACGATTTGGACGCCTTTCAGTTTTCCACAAAATTGGCTACAAAGGGCTACGAAATATGATTTTAATCAAATAAAAAATTTAATTTAATATATTTTAATAATAGAAAATTTAATTTAATAAATTAAACAAATATTATTTTAATATTATTATTAATAATAATATTTAACAAATACTATTATTAAATAAATAATAAATATGATTACAAATATTACATTAATATATTATTAATAACAATAAATATTAAATAATATATTAAAAAATATTATAATATTATTATTATTAATAAATATTATAATATTATTATTATATTAAAATATTATAATATTATTATTATTACTATTATTAATATTATTTCTGTAGTAAATTCAATAAATTATTTACAAAATAATAATAAATTTATAGCAAAATAATAATAAATTTATAGCATTATTTTGAATAATTCTATAAATTTATTATTATATATTTTTAATAATATATTATAATGATATCTAGTTTAGAAATTCAACGAGATCCATGTGTATATATTAATATAGTGGATATAAATTTTCTTTTACTGTTATTACTTATTATTACTTGTTACAGAAAAAAAAAATGTTGGTGATTATATTTCTTCCCACATAAAATTTCTATTCTCCATTTTCTTACGTGTTTTTTTTCTGAAAACGTTCACCATTTCTGGTTAGACTCGATATGCTGGTTTGTCGAGTCATGCAAATTTTACTAGGGAATCATTTTTCAGCAAAAGTACAAGTGAATCGCCAGCATCAACTCGATTACTAGTATTTTAATATACATATGCTTATTTGTATATATTTTAAATATTCTCTTTTATATACATATATAAATAAAAATTTCGATAATTATCGAAATTCGCCTCTAAGCCTAAATACAATCATTTAAAGATATCAATCTACAAATCATTTGTTCTTCTCTTATCATTTAGATAATTTGATTTCTTTTTTCATGTAAAATGAATAAAAAGCAAGTTTTTTATCGCTTCTATTTCCCTTCATTTATAAATTATGAAAATTTTTCGAACTTTTTTTGCAGACAGTTTTCATGTATTATTTAAAAAACGCTTTCGAATTATATTCTAATGAGAAACAACGCTATAAATTCTTAAAAGAAATAGATTCTTTCATTTACAAATAAATTTATTTTTATTGAAAAATAAAATTTAAAAATTATTTGCAAATTACCATTATTCACAATCAATCAACAGTAATAATAATGAAATGAAAATAATAATAAATATAATAATAAATAATAATAAATATTAATAAATAGAATATAAAAAATAATGAAGTGAAAATGAAAAATCTTGAAATCGATACTACAAAATAAAATTAAAGCAAAAAAGAAAAAAGTGTGCAACGAAATAAATTAAGAATAAATTTATAGTGATAGTGTACGACGCGTAAATATCACTTGGAAAGATATTTTGTTAAATATTCGTTTTTCGAAGAAATTAATTATATTATTTACGAGGCGCTATAAAAGATCATTTAAAAATCGCTTGGAGGCTGAAAATTTATAAGAATTGCAAGGTAAAGCCAAAATATGCATCATCGGATGCTGATAAAATCGATGCGTGTGGTTCTAGATTTAAATTTAGTTGAATTGATATTAGGAGAAATTCAACTTAACTCAAGAAAGTTATTTCACGATAACTGGAGTGGGAGGATAGATGAGCGCTTCAAATTATCGTTTCAGAGAATTGAGTTCGAGTTAAGTTATCATCAATCAAAATCTGGATCTGATGCATCCTATCGATATTCCGGCAAAAAAATTCTCCTTGTTCTTACAACCAGTGGAGATCTAACGAGTGCCTTCTAACCAGAAAGAATTGGAAACAACTACTTTAACGAGAAGAAAACATAGAATTTAAAAAGTTTTTTTTTAAATTCGCACATAACCCATCCATTATGATAAAATTTGAGTACTAAATGGTGCAAATAAAAAGCGAAAACGCCAAAAATCACTTACAGTTCAAACAAAAACATCGTAAAAGTAATAATAACAATGAAAATATTGTTTAAAAAAGTAGAAAAAAATTCTGCTACTAACATAAATTTATTTTATTAAAAGACGAATTAAATGGAAAAACGAAAAATTAAAAGAAAAATTTCTAACTAAATCTGGTTTTCATTTAATTGAATGATATAATTAAGGAATATGCTGAAAAAATAAATTTTTTTTGCGATAATTTTATTTACATTTCGATATTTTAAAA